TTTTCATACACCCTATTTAATAAGTCGATTACTTCTCTAAATCATCGATAATATTTTATCATAAATTTTGACATATTTAATTATCATTTAACACAACAAGAATTTTATTTTCCCGTGCTGTCAACGCCAGACGACTCACCCTCAAAGTAGAATAGAGCTGGTACAAGCTTGGGAAAAGAAATCTCGTTTACTGTCTCTTGTATATGTACTCAGGCCATGAATTAGAAAAAATTTAGAATGATAGAATATGGCTTTTTCCTTTTCTTTTTTTGAGTCCACTGATTCTGAGATTATTGTTATACAAAATTCTTCATGCCCAAAAAAAACAATTTATAATGTAGCATAATATTAGCTTCTGAAACATAAGTGTTGATCGGAAGGGAATCTGTATCACGTTAATTAGCTTCTAAAAGACAAAATATTTTATTACCATTTTTATTGTTATTTTACTAATTCTTTTTGTCCTTAGTTTAAGGATATCAAATAGGAAAAGTATGGAACATTAAACTGCCTTTTTTAGTTTTATCTTTAAAGTAAATAAATGGGACCCACAAGTCCACTTGTCAAATAATAAAGAGCCTCATATAAGTATGATGTGGCATGTGAGACATAAAATAAAATTTCTCATTATTGTCAACTAAAATACATTTCCCGTTTAACTTATAAATATCGAATATGTCTTTTTCATAGGTGTATTGAGGATTTAAAGTTTATTGACTTCTATAACAAATTTAAGTTAATGTATAGTAATAATCGAACCAACGAACTGGATTGTGAGCTAATATTCTTATGTGTTTAGTAATTTCTTAATACATGTTCTGAAAAGTTATTGTGTTCACGTAAACCCATATCTAATACTATTATAGATGTGTGTGTGTCCTTGATTGATAGGATAAAAGAAACACTTCATGAAAAAATCGAACAAGTTTTTTTCTTGTATGGTGAAAGTTCAAAGTGAAAATCTAAACTCGAAAGCATACGTTCGTTTAGAAGTGCTACTTCATCTTATAAATGGGCCGATGGTTTATTGGGCTTGTACTGTCCAACACCCCCCCTCAAGCTGGAGGGGGAGAGCACACCAAGCTTGCCAAATAGATAATGATGGAGAGGACCAGCAAGAGACTTGGTTAATATGTCAGCCACTTGTTCAGAACTGGGAACAAAATGAAATGAAACCAGGCCAGAATGCAGACTGCCACGAACATAATGGCAATCAATCTCGATGTGTTTCGTACGCTCATGAAAAACAGGATTCCGAGCAATATGAAGTGCTGCCTGACTGTCACAATAAATAGGTACAGGAGCAGATATCAACGGCCCAAGATCAGCCAGAATCCTTATCAACCAAGAAATTTCAGCTACAACCATGCGCAAGGCACGGTATTCTGCCTCAGCAGAAGATAATGAAATGGTGGGTTGTTTCTTACTCTTCCAAGAAATAGGACAGCCACCAAGTGTGATCTAATAACCAGTGACAGACCGGCGAGACTGAGCACAAGCAGCCCAGTCAGAATCAGCATAGGCCATGAGAGAATAATCAGAAGAGTTGGAGAGTAAGATACCAAGATCAGGAGCAGCAAACAAATACATAAGAACATGGATAGCAGCCATCATATGAGGAATTTGAGGAGCCTGCAAGAATTGGCTAAGGTGTTGCACAGAAAAAGCAATATCAGGCCGGGTATGTTGAAGAAAATTCAACTTCCCAATGATCCTCCTATAAGTGCGGGGATCAGATAATGGTTCACCCATGTCAGCAACCAACTCGATGGAAGGATCAAGAGGTGTCAACACAGAAGAGAAATTCTGACACTGAAATTCAGCTAGCAGATCAGAAGTAAACTTCTGTTGGCTCATGAGAAACCCCTGAGAAGTAAGAGAAACTTCCAAACCCAAAAAATAATGAATGGAACCCAAATCTTTAATCTTAAATTGTGCATCTAGGAAGGCTTTAACACTGTCCAACTCAGAAATTTCATCCCCGGCTAACAAAATATCATCAACATATACAGCCAGCACAGTAAGAGAACCAGCAACACATCTTGTGAATAAGGAATAATTATTTTTGCTAGAAATGTAGCCTCTAGAGAGCAAAGCTTCAGACAGCTTAGAAAACCACTGTCTAGAAGCCTGCTTGAGGCCATACAAAGACTTCTTAAGCTTGCAAACTAGAGGAGAAGTAGAGAAAGACTGTGTAGAAGAAGCAGAAACTTGCTAGCCAGGGGGAATTTTCATGTAGACCTCTTCATCAAGATCCCCATGAAGAAAAGCATTATTGACATCTAGTTGGTAGACTGTCCAACCCTTTTTGGCAGCAAGGGAGAGAAGGCATTTAATGGTAGTAAATTTAACCACGGGGGAAAAAGTCTCATTGTAGTCACTGCCCTCTTTCTGAGTATCCCCTCTAATCACCAACCTAGCCTTGTACCTCTCAATAGAACCATCAGACTTCTGCTTGATTTTATATACCCATTTGCAAGGAATGGGCTTCTTGTTGGGAGGAAGAGGGACTATGTCCCAAGTGTGATTAGCCGCAAGAGCTTCAAATTCCTTTAGCATTGCCTCTTGCCAAGCAGGATGGGAGGCAGCCTGTTGGTAAAACTGAGGCTCATGCAAATGCAATTCAGTGGATAGCTTAGAATTAGGAGGGGCAGAATACTGAGCATTGGAACAGACATAATCAGAAAGATAGGGAGGAGGATTAATCACCCTAAGAGACTTCCTAAGGGGTGGAGAAGCACAAGGTGCAACAGAGGAGGGAAGAGCAGGAAGAGGAGTAGAAACAGGAGCAGAACCTGGAGAAGAGGGGGAAGTGGACACTGATGGGGCAGAAGAAGTAGGAGAAGAAATGTCAACAAATTCAGGAGATGGAGCTGTGAAAATAGGAGAAGAAGGGGAAGCATAAGGAAAGACAAACTCATGAAATACAACATCCCTAGAGTAAAGAATGGAATGAGTGGATAAATTCAAGAGTTTGTATCCTTTCTTTCCACAAGGATAACCAAGAAAGATGCAAGAAATGGCCCTAGATTGGAACTTATCCCACCCAATTTTAGGTGAAGTGGCAAAACATAAGCAACCAAAAGACTTGAGATGATCATAGGAAGGAGGGTGACCATGGAGTTTTTCATAATTGGGAGATATTATTCAAAACAGTAGAAGGGAATCTATTGACAAGGTAGGTAGCAGTTAAAACGCAATCACCCCAATATTTGGAGGGAAAGTTAGATTGAAATAATAAAGCTCGAGATGTTTCCAGTAGATATTTATGTTTTCTTTCTACAACCCCATTTTGCTGTGGGGTGTGTGGAATGGTGGTCTGGTGTAAAATACCTTGGGAAGAGAAGAAGGATTTGGCCTCAGAACTAGTACCAAGCTCAAAAGCATTATTAGATCTATAACTTTGAACTGAAGTGTGGAATTGTGTGATTACCATAGAAGTAAAGGCTTTAATAACAGACAAAGCATTACCCTTGCATGAAAGGAGATAAGTCCAGGTGACTCTTGTAAAATCATCCACTAAAGTCAAGAAGTATCTAAAACCATCATAGGTATTAGTGTTGTAGGGTCCCCAAATGTCAATGTGTAATTGGAAAGGAGCAGATGTGTGGATGGAGCTATCAGGAAATGGTAGTCTTTGTTGTCTAGCCATAGGACAAATAGAGCAAATAAAGGATTGTTTAGAAGAAACCTTGCTGGAAATAAAAGGAATAGACTTCATTCTAGCAAAAGGTATGTGGCCTAGTCTCTGGTGCCAAAACAGATCAATTTTATTGATACTAGAAATTGAATTACAATGGGGAGTAAGGGGAAGAGGAGTTACTGGATTAGGTGCAGAAGTAGAAACATTACAAGAGTGATTATTAACAACAGGAGAAGAAGATGCAGTAAAATCAGAAACATTGTAAGGAGCAGATGGAACTGACAGAGATGGTATCATCAAGGTGGAGAAAATACAGACCATTAGTAGCTTTACCAATTTCCAGTGGCCTCTTCAGAGAAGGGCCCTGTAAATAGCAAGTAGAAATGGTGAGTATGGAAAGACAATTAAGTTGAAGAAGGAGTTGATCTACTGAAATCAAGTTAAATTGAAAAGAAGGCACAAGAAGAACATTATGCAAGGTTATGTCAGCCTTAAGGTGTAAAGAGCCAGTTGAAACAACCTTGACTTTATATCCATTAGGATGAGTGATTAAAAATGGCTTAGGTAATGGTTTTAAGTTGTGAAGAAACTGTTTATGAGGTGTCATGTGGTTAGTAGCCCCAGAATCTAAAATCCAAGTATCATCACTTAACTGAGAAGATGCACAAACATGAAAATCAACAGAATTGACCATAGAACTTTTCAATAAACCTGCAAAGTGAGCAAAGCCAAAAGTTTCTCCAGAAGAACCATTGTTGTTGGTACCAGGAGAAATATTTGCTTGCTGTAGGAGAGAGATAAGATGTTGATATTGCTCCTGGCTTAGACCATGAGTAGATGAAGTCCCAGGTTAGGAAATAGGAGCTTGAACTGAAGATTCAATGGATGAAGTGTCAGCATGAACACATGAGGCAGACCTTTTTGACCGTGTGAACTTGAAATCAGGAGGAAATCCATGCAGTTTGTAGCATTTCTTAATGGTGTGTCCTGACTTTTTGCAATACTTGCATGAAACCCCCACACCTTGCCCAGGCTTTCTTGACTCAAACTGAACCCTTTGATTAAAACTTTTCTGATTACCAGAAGGAGCAGAAGATGCAGACAAAGAAACTGGCTCATTGGAGAAGCTTGGTGTGTGAGAAGATTCCCTCTGTTTCTCATCATGTTGTAACATAGAATAAGCTCTACTAACAGTGGGGAGTAGGGACATCATAAGAATGTTACTCTTAACTGTAGAGTAAGATTCATTAAGGCGAGCTAAGAACCAAAAGAGCTTGAGTTCTTCAATAAATTTGGGTAAGGCACCACAAGAACAAACAGGACCCACATATGCAGTACTCATTTCATCCCAAAGACTTCACAACCTAGTAAAATAAGATGCAATATCTGAAGTCCCTTGAGATATAGTTCCAATCTCCCTCTGAATTTGGATGAATTTAGATCCATTAGACTGTCCAAATCTTTCATTTATATCTAACCAGATTTCCCTAGTAGTGTCGTACCCCAATACACTGGTAGCAATATCCCTAGAGAGAGAATTGGTGATCCAAGCGATCACCATGTCATTGCACCTTTCCCAAAAGGGATAATAAGGAGAATCTACTAAAGGTTTATCATGCCGACCATTAATGAAGCCCAATTTATTTTTGGCAGACAGAGAAACAAGCATACTTTTCCTCCATGCAACAAAACCAGTGCCATCAAACGGAGGAGAAACTAAATGAGTACCAGGACTATCCGACGGATGGACATAGAAAGGGTGAGAAGGATCTAGACTAAAAACAGCAAAACCCTCAGATGAAGTGTTCGAAGACGTGGTTTCAGCATCTATGGTCATGATAGCAGCTAGTATTTCTAAAATCAAATGATATTTCTAAGGAAATTTCAAACCAGAATCATATACATGCAGTAACAAATAGGAATGAGAGTAGATAATACCGCTCTTCTTCTGAAATAATGAGAAGTTGTTTAGACTTTGAGATCCAGTCAAATCTCCATGAATAGACTCAGAAAAGCTTCATCCTTGATGAAATCGACCAGAAAATCCACATTAATATGTAAAAACCCCAAATTTTGGAATATTAGGGTTTGTATATGAATCCGAAAATTTGTGAAACTAAGCTTGAGGGTAACATCGCTCGACTCGCATAAGAGAGCTGATACCGATCCTTGGCTCTGATACCATATTAAGTGAAGAAAAACTCGATCACAGTACAAAACTCCATTATCGGAGAAGAAGAAATGAGAGACGAAGAGAGAGAAAATATCTGATCTTGTTGAAAATGAAAATGTCTTTTCTTATCCCATTATTCTAGAAACATCTTTTTGTCTACATACAAGTATAAGTGGCTATCAAGTAAAAGTAAAATGTGGCTAGCTATTACAAAAATGTGTCTACTACATGTAAGAGTGTATCATGTACAAATGTGCTACTTCATCTTATAAATGGGCTGATGGTTTATTGGGCTTGTACTGTCCAACAGATCTTTGCCCGATTTTTTTGTTTAACTCACTCATTTACATTTTTGTCATTTTATTGAAGGTCGAGCTGGGAAAATTTCACATAAGAACAACTGGGATCCCTACTTTTCAATTTTATAGCCCATATTTCAGTTTACAACCAACTAGCCTAAAAATAATAGGCTAAGATTCAACACCCAACTCCAATAAATTCTCGAAATTACTATTTAATTTTTAAAAAACATTTCTCAAGCTTTTAAGTTAATTTTTGAAGAGAAATTTTCATAAAGCACTATCTTTTAGTAGTAATTAGCCATATATAGATACCATTTGCTATATTACGGATTGTAGATACCTTTTATGTGGTTATAAGATGTATTTGATGTATTTAAGCTATTTTATTCATGAATACAGTAGCAAAAATAGGCGTGAATCAAGGAAGTCCAGCTAATCAGTTATTGTATTCGAGTGTATTCGACTGTATTCCTGGAGTGAAACATGGGATTACAGCTGGACAGATTATTGTATTCGACTGTATTCGGTTGTATTCACGGCGTGAAATAGGGGATTACACTGTTTTTAAAACGGAAAGTGAATCAATTAACATAATAGACTCCTAATATAACTCAACAAACTCAATTATAACACACAATTTTTATTTTCAGTTATAAAAAAGATTCTCAACCAAAAAATACCCCAAAAACATAGCAATCTTCAGAGAAATTATATAATACGTCTGAATACATAAATTATATTAATTAAAAAGAACTTATGAATACATTCATGGCATATAGCCAGACAGTGAATACGATGAAATACATAGAATACAACGGGATACATTGAAATACAATGAAAAAAAAGACAGAGAATATAATAAAATACATGAAATACAGTGAGATACATTGAATTACAATGGGGAAAAAAAGAATGAAGCACACTCTCAACACAAATATAGCGTCCAGATGCAGAAGGAGTCTCGTAGAGAAGTATGTGGGCAAGAGCAACATCCTTAACATACACATACGCCTGGACTGAATTGGAGTAAGTTTTAGCAGAGCTAGTGAGGTACTTTAGGATGTGAAGAACACTCGCATTCACTGTTGGTTGAAGCAATGGTCCAAGCACCAACACTGGATTGATCACCACTAACCAAGAACCACGGCGGAAGGATGGGAACCCTGGTGTAACTGATTTTAATTTTAATGAGATGGGGGAAGAGAATGAGATGTATCAAAGTAGAGAGAAAGAAAATAGTGTAACTGATTAGCGTATTTACTGGCTTAGGGCTAGGAGGTAACCAAAATTAAACATTTTGCTATAAACCTTAAAAGGTATCTATAGAATATAATTTTTTTAAATGGTATTTATTTAAAATAAATAAGGTGTTAACTTTTGCTATAGGAGGTAAAAATTCCATTTTTGAATCAGCAACTATAACTCAAATATTAGTTCAACAAACCAAATCCATTTGAATGGTGAAAATTAGATTTTTAACAAGCGTAAATATGTGGGTTTAGATTCCGAATTGGATTTTGTGAGAAATTTGGAGTGGGTATTATTTAAAATTGTTAGAAATAGTATAAGAAGGTAGTATATAAAATTTGAAGTCATTTAATTGAGATTTGGACTGGTTTTGAACAAGAATTGCAACTGAAAATCGTGGAAGAAGTTCGTCTACAAATGCTTGTATAAAGGTGTATAATAGTGTATAAGATGTGTTTATATACCCTTATACACTATTATACAAGATTATACATAATTATACAAAAAACTGACTTCGTCTTCTTGCTTGCGTCTTTTCTAAAATTTAACTCAAATCTTGCTCAAATCTACTCAAAATCACTTCAAATTGAAATTTTGAACCCCTTTTGATATTTTCAATCAATTGGAACAGCACCCAATCCAAAAAACTAACAAACTCAAAGAAATCCTATTTTTGAAAGCAAAGCTTTAAATAGCCTTCAATGGTGGACTTCTACTCTTCAATTTCTTACATTGCAACCACGTAACACAGGGGGAGAAGCAGTAATGGCGGACGGCCCCTTGAAGCATATGTAGAAGATGTGAGAAGAAAAGAGAGTGAAACACAAATTTAACTCCATAGATTTTGAATTTGCTAGTGCTTTCAAAATATGTACAATATGGGCTAGGTCGGATAAAGCTTAAAAACATGTGCTTTTTTTGTTATAGTGTGATGTCAAGTGTATTTTCTTGTAATTCTTTCTTCTCAGAACCTTTTAATTAATTCGTACTTCTTTCATAGAATTTTTTCTCCTTTTTCTTATAATCTCCATTATCTTGAAATTACATTTCAGCCCCAATTTGATTTTATTGCAAACTTATATTCATCTTTAATGATCCTTGTTTTCTCGTTTCAAGAGAAAAAGATTCTCTCTTTTTTCTCGCAGAAATTCTATAAGTAACCAAAATTGCAACAAAAGAAAAGGTCAAAATTCGAGGTTATAAATGGACAAATTGCCAAAAGGACAGAAATATTATTTTTTTAAGATCAAATTAGAAATGGATTCATTAATTTATAAAACGATAAATATGAAGTTCTCATCATAATCGTCCTAGCCAGTACAAAAAAAGAAAATGGAAAAAAGACAAAAAGAAGTTTATATCATTGCAAGAAAAAGAGCACCCAATATTTGAGTCACAGCATGCATGTCTATATAAATCATAGTTACAGAAATATTGGGTAAGATTGCGTGCAATGACCCTTGCGGTCCGGCCCTTCCTCGGACCCCGCATATAGCGGAAACTTAGTGTACCGGGTTACCCTCTTGATAGGTCAATGATACTGCTATTTATAGATTATGGCCCATTTGGTTTAGCTAATTTGAAGTAGCTGATAAGTATTAGGTGCTGAAAAGCACTTTTAAGTGCTAAAACTGATTTAATAAATAAGCAGCTACGCGCTTGGGTACAAGTGCTGAAATTGATAATAAGTTGCTGCAGTATTTGATAAAAAGTGATGATAAGCTCTATTTCTGTTAAAATGACTTAAATAACCTTAGAACTGTTTACACTTATAAGGGCGTAATTTTTTCAAAATTTTAGATTCCAGATCGATTCAAATACACAATATTCTATTTGTCATTTTTTTTAAATACAACTGTGCTTAGATAAGATAATTTTTAAGATAAATATAATTTATTTTATGATAAGCATAATTAATAAATTGACAAAAGTTTCTCAGTAAATAAACCTAAATAGGACAAATTATTTGAAGAGAAACAAACATTGTCTTCATCACCACAACACTTAGAAAGCAATACACCAAAAATTTGATATGTCCTACATAAAGTTCAAAGATTAATACACAATCTCATAGATATAAGTACGCAAAAGAACAGAGAATTTACTTATCTTAAATAGTCAATGAGAATTGCAGACTTGAAGGGAGGGGGGGAGGGAGGGGGTTAGGTTGTATACTTGAGGCAGTGAGTATTGATGTAGGAGTTTTGTTCTAAAAAGAATATTTTTAGGATAAAAAAGTAAAAATCTTGGTCAAACTTAAAGTGCTTATAAGCTAAAAATTCATAAGCTAGGGGTGACCAGCTTATGGCTTTTGGCTTATTTTTGACTTATAAGCACTTGGCTTATAAGCACTTTTAACTTTACCAAACGCGTAGACAAACCGAAGAATGCTTATAAGCTAGTTTGACCATCTTATAAGCTTAGTCAAACACCCTCTATGACTGCTCTTGTTAGGTGTTTGTTCAGATTTTCTTACCATAATTGGTTTTCCTATTTCATGAAGGAAAGGACAACATATTAACCATAATTGGGTTTTTCTTTTCCTAGAAGGAAAATATAATTCTTCCATATTTGGCTAGTCCCTTTTCTTGTAGGAAAAGGTTTGGAGTTCTATAAATTGAGGATCCGCCCTTCTCATTTAGTAGCATCCACAATGTAGCCATATGGGGTTTGAGAGTCGTGTTTAGGAAGAGAACTTTACGGGACAAGTGTTAATGTGTCACTTGTATTTGCCTCTACGTGTGGTTGTTCTCTCGATATTCTGTACTCTCTTTTTATATAGTGGACTGCTCATCTCCGCCGCGGAGTAGGTCAGTTGACCGAACCACGTTAAATGTTTGTGTCTCTTTTTGTATATTTCTTTTTTATTGTCTGATATATCGTTGTTAAACGTTTGTTTTGCTAGCTTCCGCATGACACTTCCTTTTCGGATCCTAACAAGTGGTATCAGAGCGAGGTTCAAGACAAGTTCATCTTGGCGGGTTCAGTTCTAGCCGCAACATATTTGACGATAATCATAATTTTTGTCTAAGAAATTTGACCGGAGTGCTACGCACGTTGAGACAAACTTTGTAGTGGAGATTTGGAGATGCAACCTGTTGAAGGCCATGTGAA